TGGCTTTTGATTTTTCTTGATTACCAAATAAGCAGTTTCTGGAACAGGGAAAAGCAGCTTTTCACATGGCCTTTCCCCACCTTGATCATAAAAAAACTCTTGGAAATTAGTATGAGCTCAATAAAAATGTGCTGATTTTCTCATATACATACTTTAAAATTTTTTTTTGGMTTGTTAATGGACCTTTATTCTATTTATATGCGGTACAGAGGGTGGGACCCAGGGCCTCACACATCCCAGGCACTGCTCTACCCCTGACCCACAGCCCCAACCCTCATATACATATTTTTTGAATCCCATAATTATCTCTATTGTGAGCTTATTGACAAGAAGATATTCTTCTAGGCCTCTCAGCGTCGTCACAAGTTGCTGTGTGCGTGAGGAGGATCCAGCTATGGACTTTCTCTCTCCTTCSCTCTTTTTCCTGGAGGCAGACAGATTGGTTGAAAGATGTTGTAATATTCAGATGGCACATGAACCTCTGTAACTAAACCATCATGGTAATGTTGCTGGAAGTGGTGGCAAGTGSTTGATTTCTGGATATTTCTTGAAGGGTTTGATGATTGGATTGGGGGTGTGCAAGGAACCATATAAATCTTCAATATCCCACCCCTACTCCACCCTCCCAACAATGCAGTTTCCACTGACTGTAATGGAAATGATTTGATTGCAGGAAGAATGTTTTGAGAGTCAAGTGTGTGTGAAGATCTATTGGTTAAGTGTTTTTTTTTTTTTTTTCTTTTGTTCTTTTTTGGCTTGGAGGATTGAATCCAGGGGTGCTTAACTACTGCAGCACATCCCCAGCCCTTTTTATTTTGAGAYAGGATCCAGCCAAGTTGCTTAGGGCACTGCTAAGTTGCTGAGGTTAGCTTATGAATTCTCCATCTTTCTGCCTCAGCGTTCCCAGCCACTGGGATTACTGGCCTGCAACAGCGACAGCGTGCTCGGCCAGTGAAGTTTAATTGATGTATTAAACATTAAGCGGAGCTGACCCATGTGACTTGATCAGACATAGATGATATAGGTAGTGCCAAACTCTCCGTCTCACAGTTTAGGAGGGAAATGATTTGTTGAAGAATAAACCAATCATAAGCTAAATAAAAACCATAAAAATTCTAGGTTGTTTTATTTTTATTTATTTATTTATGTATTTATTTATTTTTTGCTACCAAGAGAATGCTGTCATATTCTTTGCTCAGAGTTACCCATAGAAAACAAAACCTAAACCGTCTGCATTGGATGCTGACTCCCTTAGTGACTTGCCCTTTCTTTATCTGCTCTGCATATCTTCAGAGTGTATTGTAATTCTAAACATTCAAGAGCTTCTTGGACATTTTTGACCCTGGCCAGGCCCCCAGAGGCCTAACCACAGTTCCTTTTCTTGCTAGATATGCCCCCACCCCCAACTGAACAGGAAAGCTCCCCATTGGTGCTGTTCCCTTATCAGCAAGATCAGCTGTGCCCCTTTCAGTTTCTGACATAATGGATTTGGCTTCTTTGCCAGCTCCCTCTGCTGCAAAACCTGCCTCTCAAAGCCCTGCTCACTCCCCCTCCTGAAGCCACCCCTCAATGGTGCTGGGTGGTGTGCAGGGCCTTTCTCTTCTAGACAGACAGTACAATCTCATCTATCTGATGTCATGGGCTTGGCCATTTCATGCATCAGTGAGTGAACTGGAGGTGATTCCAACACAGCCACTTCTTTCCAACTTTCCTTCCCACAACCTCCCTTACTGTGAATTATTTATTTATTATTTATGCCTCCGTGTGTGTGTGTGTGTGTGTGTGTGTGTGTGTGTGTGTGTGTGTTTTCTTTTGCCTAGAGTGCTCTTTCTGGCTAATAAGTACTTATCCAAGTTTTAGCTCAAAACCTGCCAACATTCCTAAACAGAGAGTTGCCAGGGCAAAGTTACACAGGACAAGTGTTGTATTCTATTCAACTCTGTAGTAAGTGCCTTGGTGATGACCCTTGGTCACACTCTGAAAGCTATTGGAATGTCCACATTGTTACTGGGTAATGATGTTATTCTATATCCCTGAAGCAGTGAATCACCATGAACCAGGTTGTCAGCATATTTAAAGCAGACATGAACATTCATGGTGGCTGGTGTGATAGCTAGGTGACCAGCTCCCTCTAACAACTTTGACTCCATATTCAAGTGGACTTTGCTTGAAAGGTGCAACTGACAATGTCCTTGCAGTTCACAGTGTTAGACCACGACACAAGAAAAGACCACTGACTCCAATTGAAATCAAATTAAAGCAAGCTTATTCTCTCACTAAAAACCTTGGGAACAATACAACGCCACAGCTTTCCTGCAGCCCAGCTTTATAGCCCAGAAAGTTACACAAAGGGGGGTTACAGATAACAAAACTCTGAGGAGCATAACACAAATGGTAGTTTACATTTTTGCTGGCCCTGGCATCAGAATTTATGAAGCTCATTAGAGCCTCAGAGAGGGTTGTTATCTGGCCAGGGAAAGGCAAGATTTATGAGGCGTCACTAAAGTTTCAGAGAGGACTGCTATTTGGTCAGAGAGAGCCAGGCATGGGTGAGTTCAAGGCATGGGCAGGCATTCCAAGCTAGTTCAGAATTTGCAGTAATTTATAGTATAGCCAAAATTATTTTTTCATGGCTTTGTGGCGAGATGGCTCCCAATTTTAAGAGAAAATCAGTTTGGGTCTATCAACAGCTGGAGAGAAGCTCACAAGTGTGATTACTGACTGATAACAGAGGACAGGAAGCCTTCTCCAGCCTTCTGCCACCTGCATTTCCCCCAATTTTCCTGCATTCTATCCTTTGCTGTAATAAATCTTAATCTGTTAATCTGTTAATGCTGAGTTTTATAAGAGCCCCCCTCCCCCCCAAAAAAAAAC